CGTGCTGTAGGTGTACGTGTGTGACCTGTCCGGCATTTGTGCCCGAGGCTAGGCAAGAAATCCTTGCGAACTTCTAAGTAACAGAGAATTCGCCCTAAAAGTCTGCAATAACCTGCAATCGAACGATATAATACTGAGGAATTCGCTATTTCAAAATCTTGTTTGGGAGATGTATGGAGCGGATGAGATTATTGTTTTAGTACAGTACAGGTCAGGTATTTGCAGACGGCACCTGGGCAAGCGCGCAGGGCCGTCTAGATCCATTTACCGTGTCGTCACGGGAGGTCATACCGTCGGCACGCCCAAGCAGGCGCGTGGGGCTTTGTCGATACCTTTCCCGCGGTACAGTTACAAGAGGTGTCGCCGTAGCCACGCCCAGGCTGGCCCGTGCACGTTGGGCCGTCTAAATCCATTTACTCTGCAGTCACGGGAGGTCATGCCGTCGGCACGTCGGCCATTTACGTAGCTTAATATAAGCTTAAATATTCATTTTTAAGCTAACGTTACGCACACTTAAATGCATCTTATTTAAAACAATTTAAAGTAACTGCCAAAGTCATACTTATCTAAGTCTTTATGTTTTAAACGTAGTCAAGAACACATGTGGAGTACACTGCTGCAAATCAGTGCTTTATCTTTACTGCAACATTAAGCGACCTTAAAGATCAAGTAAGGATACGTTTATGTTTAAGTAGACTTTACGTTGTTCTTTAAGAGAGTGTAAAGATTGCCTGCCGATTGTGGCATTTACGATGGCTTAAGTGTGACTTAAATAATGCTTAATTATTTTGAAATATTTAAGCCTTATTTACGAACACCATTAAGGATGCTTAAATATCGTTTTTCGTGCAGTGCAAATGTTTCCACTGAATTCTACATAATGTATCTCTCTCAGCCTGCCAAGCAGAATACAAAAATTCTAAGGGAAATAAAAAAAGAATACTAGCATGCGTACCAGGAGAACTAAAAAAAACAACTTTATATCATCTTCAACTTGTAATTTAATATTATCAGCAGTTGTTTGTGAACCGAATTGTTCCACAAGAAATTTACAGTCATCTAAGTCATATTCTTTAGATATAATGCTTTATGATTTTGCATCACGTAAGTTTTGAAGCGACTCACATTATTGTGCTGTCGGAGAAGCTTCAGTGTTTCCTTTCTACCACGATTGATTCGGGATTCACCGTCACTGGTGTCCTCATCATATGCAGCGATGTCCTCCGCCGTTTGACCATCCTGGGAATAAACATGCAGTTAATTATAGCCTTATGAAGGTTGAAATATCGGAAATAAACACGACTGAATGAGCAGACAATACATCTAGAACATAAACAGTAGGTACAGCAGCAAAGCCCATGTTTCGAAAGAAATTAATTTGTAGGTGTTTATGTCATACGATGCAGGAATATCACTGAACACATCGTTATTTGTGTGTTTATTCCAACAACAGATTCCTCCTTGCCTCGGACAGTAATGTATGTATTTAAGAGGCTCATCATTCTAAAAAAAGTCTTACTTTTAATTTTTCTCCCAAAAGAAGTAAAGGGAATATTGTTTTGCTGGATTGGTGGTCAGTTATTTACCAGAGAAGCCGAAGAACCGACTAACCTTGTTCCTGAGACCGGTATCAGCCCCGTACTGCAGCTGTATTTCCGCACACTCGGGGTGGCCATATGTAGCTGCATAATGGAGGGGGGTGTTTTCCTGTTGGGGAATTGACAGTGTAATTTTTCATCCTTAGCATGATCAAATAGCAACACCTTATGAATGTTTATATTTACATCACTCACTGACTCCAAGCTTGCTTGAAACCATTCCCTACCTTTGCATTCCCTACCTTTGCATTCATACTGATTGTTTCTAATAATGGATAATAACGGTAACACTACAATTTAAATCTTGTCCTGCTGACATTTTTTGCGCAATATTTTTCAATGTCGTGTCTTAATCTGGTCATAGACCCTGGACCTTTTTGCCATGCGGTGGCGTAGTTGCTTCCGTATTTGTTGCGTTTTGCTGCGGTGTGATGCGTTACACGAAAATAGCCCCAAATTGTACATATACAGGGCAACGTATGCATGATAATGTATGTGCAACCCATGATTTTTCGAACCAAAAAATGTATGATATATTCCGACAGTTGATAATATCCTGTATAGCCCCATGCGTTCCAATCCGTACCAGCTTCATGTTCGTAACAGTTTAAATGGTAGTCAGCAAATAAACCGCTATTTAAATGGTAGTCAGCAAATAAACCGCTGAGTAAGAAGATTGAGAAGATGAATGTCGAATCTTACAAGATTGTACAGAAATATTTCTTGTATCACAGCAGTCAGTCTACCTACCGACACGTCCCGTGAGTTCACATCTGCACCAGCTGTCAGTAAAGCTGATACAGTTTCATGGTGACCATTCTGGGCTGACATGTGCAGGGGAGTACATTGCTGTAAAACACATCATGGCGGGCTGAATTAAACTAGTAGAAGTAAAGTTGGAGCTGTTGAAGCTACTGCTACTGGTACAAATGTGGAAAATTCCAAATATTGCTTTGTTTTGTGAAATGTTACGGATATGTTACAGACAAGCTGAAAGCTGAAGACGGGTGCAGGGACCAGTGCGGCCTTGCCCTTCCCATCTGTGTCTTTTATAAGCGGTTTGCCCCTCCTGCCTCTTGATTTTCATGGCACAGCCTTAAATGTTTCTTCACCATATATAAGTAAAATGACGAAACACATGGCAACAAACCAAAAAGCTATCAACAGCATTAGGGTTGACTCCCTCCGCTAACAGGTGCTTCACTCTGTCCGTGTCTCCTACCCCTGCAGCGTCCAACAGCGCCTATAGCGGCGGCAGACAGGAACAGGAAAAACAACTGTCAACACTCAGTCAATCAGAACAACACTCGGCGTGTGAGAAGATTCAATACCTATACCTTTATTTATTCATCATACTGATATTTCACTTCCTTTCATGTCTCTCAGTGTAAAGTTATAAAAAGACATATCATTTATCTCTATTTGTGCATAGCTCACATATGTTAAACTTTGTTTATTTCAGACTCAATGGCCCATAGTATACAGACACATAACACATCTGAAAACAAAGTAAAATCAAAGTATGTACAGATAAATGTAAAAAAAAAGACTACCGAGCCGTCCTGCCGCAAGGAGGCCCCCTTACGGTGGGCGGACCATCTACATCAGGCTAGAGAAAAAGGCCTGTTACAGATATACACCATCATATGCACTGTGGGGTTTGTCTGTGTGTAACATCACTTCTATTTTTTAATGTTTTCTTTACCTCCTCGAGCTCGTCGTCCTCCTTGTCCTCCCAACTCGACTCTTCAGGCCAGGTATCCTCTGACCCGGATTCCTCAGACCCGGACTCCTTGTCTTCCTCCATTGTCTCCTGTTCTCTTCCGTCCATGCCTGGTCTGACCCTACAGATAGATACACACCACCTGCCTAGTGACACTGTCGTAACTAAGACTAGCTGGATCTAGTGCTTTCCTGTAGCACAAACACAGACCCACAGATATATAATTTCTCTCCCTAAACAATATTATAGTAGTGGAACAGACCGAGCATCATGTACAGCGCTCTCAGAAAATACCTGATTTACATTCATGGCCGCTAAAGCGTTTCCGAACACTGTAGATCAAACTGTACCAACAAAGGAACGATAATTTCACAGCCATACAGACATAGCGTCAATACTTTCTAATTAAATCAACATGAACAGTTTATCTGTGTGCTAAAGGGCTGTGGTAAAAGTTTCTTTAGTTTTTGTACTTAGGCCCTGTTACGTATGATGCACCCGTTACTTCCGGGTTTACCTGAACTTTTCCAGAAGTGTCTTGGGAGAGTCTGACGACTTTTCCCGGTCTTTAAGGTCTCTGCAGGACTCTTAGACTCTCCAGGACCCGAAGGCTGTTAGTTCTGACGTCACAAGACGTACAGGTGAGTTCTCACGGCGTCTTGAAGACAGAGCAGGTCCGTTACGTCCGCAGGTGAAAATGGTTGTTGACGGTTTGGGTAGGTCTCCCATGATTCATAGCGCACGCGATGACGTACTCCGTAGTAACCGGGTGAATGACCTCAGGACGATTTGCCGGTATACTGGCTGTGGTTAGTGTGGGACGTGTATATCTTAGATCATTTTAACCTTATGTAATATATCGTGTATATGAAGGTTAACCTTATATACTGTGTATATCTTAGATGAATGTTAATCTTGCGTAATAGATAGGCTCAGAACTCACACATTGAATACGTCCCAACATTTTAATTGTTTATCTCTTTGTATTGATCTTCTTTTAAGCCAGGAAGTACTCAAACAAGGTTTTTACATTATTTTCTAAGCTTCGCCGAATTTCCGTCTTATTATCTCAGTCTAGTATAGTATTACGTGAGTGATCAATTACCTGCTGCAAGTGCTTCAGCAGTTTTCCCCTTCAATATTAGGATGATATTCCTTGTTTCTGGGCACACCTAGCTGCTGCTATAGGATGCTGCAGCTTTTTCCGCCGAAACACCCGAGATACATGTATGTCCGGCCACCTTCGGGGCATTGTAGAAGTTTTGGAAATGCATAATCATGCAAAAAACTACAGAATTTTCTTATACTTTCTTCAACTCAATTTTTTTCTACAACTACGGGTCTCCCGGCTGTAGTTGACCTTGAACACGTCAGTTCCTCCGGTTCCTTTCTTCCTCTGCCCTGATACAAACCGTGACTCTGTGGCGAGACTTTCCAGTAAGAGAAACTTAAAAACAAAATTTACTCCCTATAGTGTCTTTAGCAACGCTTAATCTGAGATGGTAAAGGTATCGTTTTTTGTGCTCCTCTATTTTGCTGAAACTATTGAGTAGACATTGCACACACATGCACGCAGGTGTCTTCCTCGTCTTCCATGTTGCGTTAAGGGAGACACAAGGGTCAGTAGGCAGCATTGCGCGACCTCACTGTTACCTGGACCTAATGCTTTTGTGAGCTATGAAGCCATAGGGGATGACAGGTTATAGATGATTTATAGTTTGTGTATTACCTATATTGTGTAAAACTGTTGACCTCACAATCTAACCCAACCTGGAGACGTCAAAGGGGCCGCCCCCTAGGGCAAGATGGGAAGACCAGCTCTTCCCCACACTTGGGGAGCTGGGTGCCGGAGACAACTGGAGGGTCTGTGCCGAGAACATATCATCTTGGCGGAACCTTTGCGGGACTGTAGTCGCTATGCATCAGACCATGATGCCCGCGGAGGATTGATATTACCAGACAGGTAGAGTTGACATCAGTACCCGAAACACCGCGCCATGCACGTGTCAGGTAAGAGAAGTGCAAGACGTGGTGTTTGGGGCTTGTCATGTTAAATGGTGGTGGATGTAAGTTTGTGGACGTACATGGTTGACCTTGTCATCCTCTATTGCATCAAAGGTGGCACAATAGCGCTAGTGGGTACAGACGTCAGACACGTATAAAAATACTGGAAGGAAACATCAGATTGTCTTTGACCAGTTATCCTCCCAACAAATGTCCTTTGAAAGATCTTAAAACGGTGATGCAAGGAAATGGTTTGGTTTAAAATAAAACGTTAAACTTTGTTTCCCCTTTGCTGAGACTAATTTAGGACAAAAAACAACAATATTTAGCAGAATTCTGACTGTTCCAATGAGGTCATGAGAACTTTTTATCGCACTTGAGAATCTTACACATTCGGACAAAACATGACATACCATGATTCAACCTAGTCGGAACAAGCAGGTGAGAGTCTTTGCTTGTACAAAAGGAATCCTCCCAGTATTGATGTTGTACAAATGTCAGCCGGCTCATGACGTAGTTATTGTACACATCGAGCATTGTACGGAGTGGAGACACAGTACGCAGGTTATGTTTACACACACTCGGTGGCAAAGAACACCTTAACTTCATGGCACAAACACAACCCTCTCAGCGTGGATGTTGTACATGATTCCTAGCCTCTAAACGTAACAAATTGTAACAAAACGCACACAACGAACGGTCCGAGAGCAGACATAGTAATAAGGTTATGTTTACACACACTCGATGTAAAAGAAGTCACATCTTGTTTAATGGGTCAATATTGTCTGTATCAATATAACCGGTATACGTATAACCGCTCTTCGGCGTAACACACCGACTTCTGTATCTCTATAGCCTGTATAACCGCCCTTCTGCGTAACACAACAGCTTCTGTATCCTTATAGCCGGTATAGCCGCCCTTCGGCGTAACACACCAGCTTCTGTATCCGTATAGCCGGTATATTTATTTATTTATTGGTTCAGCTGTACAGATGACAGCCAAGGTTGCCCAACTAGTGCCACGACTATTTTAAAGGGATAACCTTGGGGACAGAGACAACAACATATATACATACATGTCAGATGAAAATGGGGCATTTAAAATCAGAATTATCAGATATAGAATTTACATAGTTATAACAGGACTTAGCTAAGGTGCACTAAGAGGATTAATATTTACATTGGGAGGTCAGGGTCAGCGTTCATAATGTATGGATCTCCGAGCGAGATCTGGAGATTGGTTTTGCCGGTATAACAGCCCTTCGGCGTAACACACCAGCGTCTGTATCTGTGTGGCCGGTACAACCGCCATTCGGCGTAACACACCACCTTACGTAGCTGTATAGCCGGTATAACCGCCCTTCGGCGTAACACACCAGCTTCTGTATCCGTATAGCCGGTATAACCGCCCTTCGGCGTAAAACACCAGCTTCTGTATCCGTATAGCCGGTATAACCGCCCTTCGGCGTGACACACCAGCTTCTGTATCTGTATAGCCTGTATAACCGCCCTTCGGTATAACACACCAGCTTCTGTATCTGTATAGTCGGTACAACCGCCCTTCGGCGTAACACACCAGCTTCTGTATCTGTATAGTCGGTACAACCGCCCTTCGGCGTAACACCAGCTTCACAGGCACGCGGCGTTAGTCATACGATATGATTTGGTCTACTATTTCCTCAGTACAAGATTGTGCTACAAACACAAAATGCTGAACGGTTCATAGCGCCGCACTACAAAACGCCAAGTCACAGGGGAAGTCCCTGCATGTACAAACCCAACCCTCCCAACATGACTGTTGTACATCATTCCTAGGCTCAAAACGTATCTCTTGTACACAACACCACAGGTTTGAGAGTAGACTCGGTGAAGAAATGTTAACACAGTTCCTAAGGAAGTGTTCAGCAGAGCAGTATGGTAGCATGATGTTCATCACTGTTGTTTGCGTTCTATTCGAATGACGTCATATCGAACATGGTGGAACATTGTTGCATTCCAAAACGTGGTCCATTCCAAATCATGATTTGGAATAGAATGCACCTGCATTCCAAAACGTGGTCCATTCCAAAACATGATTTGGAATAACACGAAGTGGAATGCCTGTTGCATTCCAAAACGTGATGCATTCCAAAGCATGACTTTTCGTAATCACGTGTCTGGGGGCGGAGCCTCGTACTTAGGGGGCGGAGCTTCGAACTTCTGAGGGCGTGGCTAAATGATACGTGTCTGGGCATGTTTTGTAACGCTTAGCGTTCCATTATAGCTACAGGCTGTCAGACGTGTAAACTTTATGATGAAATGGGAGTCTCAAAATGTCACACGCGCGTTTTAGAATACCTGTGTCAACTATCTAAATCATGATTAACGTCAAATATTTCCCAAAGTGCCTAGAGAAAGGACATGAAATGGAATATTCCAAAACATGTCTGGAGCATGTTTCGGAATATTCCATATCGTGGCTAGATATCCCATATGGGCCGTGGAGACCACATTCTTACAAAATTAGGCTTATTTGCGTAATTTAATGACACAAAGTAATGCTAAATATTTACAAACTTCACTTAAATATCAAAAGTTTTAACTATAAATGAAGGCTCCTTGCTATAAATTACGTTCTCTTCTATGTATAAACAACTATCACGTGATACATGATTCTTTTAGCGGGAAAATAATGAGAAACGGACGCGCGAGCGTCCGACCATTTAGGACCGCACACTGATGAAGATAAACTCAGACCAGAACCAGACTATGGAACATCATACCAAGAACATTATCGTACTGTTCATTGACGTCATTTTCCCCATACAGCTCGAACGTACTAATACCTTTGGCACGCTAAGTTCGACGACATGTTCAGACAAGTAAACACGACGTGATTTAACACAGTATCTGTATACAGGCAGCCAACGGACCAAATATGGAAACTTCGGAATGAATAATTAATCACCACTCCTGTCAATCATTCGTGATTGACAGCATGGCCGGTCACATTTTAGAACATTCCAAATCGTGATCCAGCTGCGCCATATGATTTGGAATACAACATGTGGAATGCCTGCTGCATTCCAAAACGTGGTCCATTCCAAATCATGATTTGGAATAACACGTTTTGGAATGCAACAAACATGATTCGGGTTCGAAACATGTTTGTGGCCATCGTGCAGACACACGCCCGAACTCGAACATGAATATCAGCCTAGGCCACCTTAACCCAACCGAGGTTGGGTTT